ATCGTAGACGAACAGCTAATTAGTTTATCATACTTTTGACAAGACAAAATTATGGTCTAAAGAGATTTATTTTTATCACTATCTTTAAATAAGATTTCATTTATATAGTAAAAAAGGAGATAGAAAAGATTTTTTTTAGGTAAAAGAAAAACAATCATATATGTCAATATATAATTGAATAATTACTTTAATATGTAAAATTACAATTGGCGTAACAATTTAAATATTTTCATGTTTTATTTATAAATTAATTGATCCTACAGATATTGTCCTGTTGTCCTGTCTAAATCCCATTTTTTTAAACCTTAAACTGGTTCAGTTAAGATTTTCAAGGTTGCAGTGTTGAATTTAATTTATTCATTTAATTAAAACAACTTGAGTTCATTTTTAGTTAGTAAGTGTACTTAAACACTATGTTAATACTTACTCACTAACAATGATATAGTCCTGTCGGCTAGCATTCTCATGAGACGACTATCTGATTTATTTCCAAACATGTTGAAGATACTGTGCCACACCCGCGTATTCCATATAAGAATGAAGCTATTTTTTTACGCCAGATTTCGTCAATTTTGTCTGTATTTTTTTAATGGGTGAAAATGGCATAGTTACCCCGCCTGCGCTATCGGTATACACTGGCGAGATACCAGAGAGGTGATAGGTGAGGATGAAAAAGCAGGTCATGTCAAAGCCTATCATGATGAATTCAACGATAAATTTGTTACGATAGTTTCCAGGGGGAACCGCGTGGAGGTCGACATGATAAGGTACATTGATAGCAACGGGGACTAACCTCTCCATTACTAACAATTCCTTCCCCCCAATTATCTATATTAGCTTTAGCAAAGATCGCTGAGACGCTACAGAAGCGCGGTAGCCGCAACAGCAACCTTTTTTTTATGCAACTTAGAATGGCAAACAAGCTGACGACCTGCTGTCGCCTATATATATGTGCATAACATATATGGGCATAACAGAGTATACTGTTTCACCCATGATACCCCCAATGCGTTGCATTCCTGAGGACTCAGGTGTTATTCCTCTGTACCCAGTAAATTCACGCCATATCCCACCCTTCAAACCGAAACACAGCCATGCAAACACAACTGCTTCACGGTAGGAACACGAATGGGACAGAGGTACCTAAGCAATCGACTTTTGTACAAAGTCTCCCTCTGGTATAACCTACAATTGTTGTTAAATTGGAAATTGATTTACAATATGACAATTAAAAAAATATGTCTACGATGTGTATGATTTGCCTTAAAAACGAAGAGCGTTTAATTTTATTCTATCATTTCAACAGTTAACTATCCACTGCTGAACATAAGTCTTCCCCATAAAGGGAGTTTTGCCACTAGTTGCCCCGCTTGGCAAGCGGGATGGCGATCGCAGTTTTTTTTAATGGATGATAATGGAATGGTAGCCTCGCCTGCGCTAACGGTGTACGCTGGCGGGGTACTAATGAGGGATGATAGGTGAGAACGAAAAGGGAGGTCAGTTAGCCCATCGTGAGAAATACACCTCGAATTTAGCACGATGGTTTCCAGGGGGCACCACGTGGAGGTCGACCTGATAGCAATGAGACTGATAGTCCGCATTACTAAGAATTCCTTTCCCCCCTGGCGACCGCAGTTAGGCTTTTAGAGATGTCTCAAAAATGTTTCGATTATAAGTTCCCTTAATCGCTTCTTACGACACCCACGGTTAAGGAAAGGCTAGTGCATACACGGCGAATTTTATCCTTTATTATATTTTGATGTAATTTTTCCACGGCGTGTCCGTTCCACTTATTTATGCACGCTCTATATCTGAAATATAGTTAGCGAAGTTGACTAGCATTAAGTTGGGGCAAATGAGATGCGGCAATTAAACCGCGCGGCCGTCTTGATTGCAATCTGACGACTCATTGCTTGCTAATAGTTCATTTTATGTTTCAACTGTTAATTTCTTACTTGGCGCCTCATTACACGACTGTCGAAGAAAGGTGTACTCCTTCCTTCGTTTATGTGTTTGTTGTGTTGTTTTTTGTCAGTGTCTATGTATTATGTATCTAAGAGATTGCACACAATCTCTTTCAAAATAAATTAGTGATTTTTTTTTATACAAGTTAGAATGGCAAACAAGCTGACGGCCTACCTGATAGAAAGTGGTAACCGTCGCCTATAGATATGTATATAGTAGTACCATGGACATAACAGTAAATTCAAGCTATATCCCACCCTTCAAACCGAAACACAGTCATGCAAAGACAACTGCTTCACGGTTGAAACACGAATAGGACAGGGGTACCCAAGCAATCGACTTTTGTACAAAGTCTCATCAAATCAGCCTTTAACTGTCCACTGCTGAACATAAGCCTCCATTTGGGGGGTTTCCCCAGTAGTTGCCACACTTGGCTGGAGGATTGGCAACCGCAGTTAGATTTTAGAGATGTTTTAAGAGAAACGCTGCTGCCCATTTCTCGCCCTCCCGACGAGTAACGCCTCTTACGACACCCATGGGAAAGAAGGGGATGGACTATTCTATGCCGGGACTACACAGCCATGAAATTTTCTACAAACTATCAGGGCTGAAATAATAACAATAATAAAACTTCTATTGAAACAAATTATACATTAACCAAATGAAATAGCTAAAATTAATTAAAAACATAATAAAATCCGTTTTCAATTAATAAATAAATAAGTTTCTTGATTCAGATTACATAGGAATAACACCTGAGTCCTCAGGAATGGCAACGCATGGGGGGTATCATGGGCGAAACAGTATACTCTGTTATGTCCATGGTACTGCTCATGTCTATAGGCGACGGTTACCACTTTCCATCAGGTGGGCCGTCAGCTTGTTTGCCATTCTAAGTTGTATAGAAAAAAAAGATTGTCAAACTTGGATATCCTATAAATCGGAATATTTTAAACCGAGTCAGTTAAAAAAAATCCCATCGATCCACCCGCCTCTTTATGCATCATAGAATAAAATAAGCAATACGCGAAAAGAACAGTTTACTTCATTAATCCTCTTTGGGCATCAGTTGAACATCAGCTTCAGTTCAAAACGTTTTTCCGCCTGAATAACATTCAAAAACAACTCTGCAACTCCCCATTAAAATTCTCGCGATGAAACGCGTTGGAAACTTTTAGAATTTCTCTCATTAAGAACTAGAACGATTTATAATCATAACATGATCAGAGCTCGCTTCGATAGTTGCTACTTCGGCTTAATTGGTTTTTCAATTATTTCTACATCACAATGTTGGCTAACAATCGATGGAGGGGGGAGGGAGGGATTGGATGCAATGGGACTGGTTGTTTTTAGTGGGTGATAATGGAATGGTAACCCCACACGCGTTATCGGTATATACCGGCGGGGCGCCAGTGAAGAATTATAGGTGAAGATGAAGCAGGTCAGTTAGCCTATCGTGACGAATTCAACAAGAATTGTTCACGATGACTTCCAGGGGGAACCACGTGGAGGTCGACCTAATAGGGTAGGTAGGTAGTAACGACCTAATTGCTAGCAATGGGGCTGTCAAAATCCCTTTCCCCCAATGGGACTGGTAATCCGCCTGGTAATTGGTCAGCCTCCACGTAGTCCCCTTGGAAACCATCGCGCTGAATTCTAGCTGCATTCTTCACTTTGGTCTAACTAACCTGCCCTTTCATTCTCATCATTCATTCCTCACCAGCCCCGCCAGCGTATATCATTAATGCAGGCCGGGTTACTATTCCATTGTCATTAATATTTTAATTAAATTATTTGGAATTATTAAAAAACAATCGATATGTATCGATAGAAAATAATTCGATTATTCGCTCGGGACTAAACAACAAACAATCGATTATATATGTTTTAATATAAAATAAAAGGTTAATGATTATCATCGATTAATCTTATCGATTGATCGATTAAAACACTATCACGTAATTGTGTTGTTCGTACGATATCATGTATTATAATTAACTGCGATAAAATAGATTAATCGATATAATATATAGCCAGTACAAACAGTAACATATAGCCTATACTGAGAGTATTGTTTTGAACAACAATATAATTGATTCGATTCGATTGTCGATATTTGTTTATTTCGAGTTAAAAAGTAGCATATGTCCTTCTCTATTTCATATAGTACATCAAATTTCAAAATATTTCATCGGTTAAGTCATTAAAGGGGTTAAGATGTCACAAACATACTTTCGCTTTAATTATTAATAATTATTTAATAATTAAAAATATTAATAATTATTTATTAAATAAAAATATTAATAATTATTTAATAATTAAAATTATTAATAATTATAATTATTTACATAATGAAAATTATTCATAATTAATTGTAATATTTAATAAGAATTTTAAGTTTTTTTTTTATAATTACTAATACACAACATAGTGTAAAGATACTGATATTAAAATATAATCAATTTCTGCTTCATGCATTAGTTACTAACACGTTCAGTAATAGCGTGTGGAATCATCGTTAAAAAAGTTGATGGATGCAAAAAAAAAACATGTCGAAATCATAGTTCACGCATGCGCGGTGCACCGATCGAACCGAAAAATAAGTATGAAATGTAGCTACTTCATAAATAAGTAGCTATAACCAGCGATTTGCTCACGCGAATTAAGTGTCATGTGTTAATCTTAGCCGTGTGGTCCCGGCATAGAATGGGCCACCTCTTTCTTTGCCATGGGTGTGGTAAGAGGCGACTAAAAGAAGTTAATTATCGAGGGATAGACAGCAGTGTCCATCTTAAAACGTCACCAAAGTCAAACTTCGGTTGTCAACCCACTTGCTAAACTTGGCAACTAATGATAAAACCTTCCAATAGGATAAGGAGTGTCCAGTTAGTTAATGCCATGGATGGATGATGATGATGACCCTGTAATTTCACCGCTTTATCCCAAAAAAGTCTTTCTGTGGTCAATACTTCTAGTATGATAAAGATTTTAAATAGGAATTTCTCACTATAATAAATTAGAATCTAGAAAAGAAATGAAAAAAAAAAAGTTAAATAGTGAATGCTTTAATCATGTGTTTCAACCAATTAGAATAGATATAGAATTTTGAATGACGTCAACACTTCGTTTGAATTTACTCTAACCGATGACTTTGCCGCCCAAACCGTAGCCGTAGCCAAGGCTGCTGCCCCATCCGAGTCCACTGTTCAGGCCGAGACCATAGCTGCCGAGTCCCAAACCGCCGAGGCCGAGTCCAATGGGTGCGGCGACAGTTTTAACAACGGGTGCAGAGATGACGGGGGCAGCGACGGTTCTGATGACGGGGATGGGGGCGGCCTTCACTAAACTAGCGGTGGAGATCGCAGCCGGGGCCAGGATGGGGGTGCTGATGATAGGCGCTGACAGACCTGGTGGTACAATTTATATATGTTCCAAAATTAGAAAATTAGAATTTAGTGTTGTTCGGACTACCTCGCTTTTGTAGCGCCTCCAGCATGTTTGCTCAATCTCACGTAAATGACTACTACGCTATAAGGAGAAAGAGAACCAGAGGGAGACTTTGTACAAAAGTCGATTGCTTGGGTACCTCTGTCCCATTCGTGTTTCAACCGTGAAGCAGTTGTGTTTGCATGGCTGTGTTTCAGTTTGAAGGGTGGGATATGGCGTGAATTTACAGGGTACAGAGGAATAACATCTGAGTCCTCAGGAATGGCAACGCATGGGGGGTACAAACATTATGGGCGAAACAGTATACTCTGTTATGTCCATGGTACTGCTCATGTCTATAGGCGACGATGACCACTTTCCATCAGGTGGGCCGTCAGCTTGTTTGCCATTCTAAGTTGTATAAAAAAAAAAAAAGAACTGCATCATTGCTACACAGGGGCTAGGACAAGCACCAACAGCATTCTGAAAGTAATAGGCGATAAATATAACTTGCCTATAATTGGGCATTTCATTCAGATGCTGATCTAGTCGGCTGGCTCACATCTAAGTGAACTGCTTTGACTAAATTGTAGTCTGAGTAATAAAGTATATTATAATATATAAAATCACATTTTGTTTGAAAAATAGCAACAGCCGAGTTTCTTGTCCGTTCTTCTCAGTTGAAGGTGTATTCCGAACTATGTGGTAGATTCGTAACATATATAATTTTTAAATAATGCAACCGCAGTTAATCTTTGGTGCCTTAAAAGGGACGCTGCTCTCCATTCAATCCTCTTAGTTGCCTCTTACGACGTTTACTCTTACTTAGGGATGTCTCATTCTATGCCGGACCACACGGCTAACTTTTCTTACTATGCTTAAATATATTTATTGATAATTGATTGCTTACCAATTCCACCGTAGCCAAGACCAATGGGAGCAACGGGGTTGCTGTGGCCAAGGCCGAAGACGGCCAGCAAGCAAGCGAACTGTAAAAATAAAAGAAATTTATTAAAATAATATTATCTATTTTTACTGAAACATTATTTGGAAGTGACTTCCAAAAAAACTGGTTCCTAGTTCATCTGGATTTTTTTGTTTTTCTATAATGTAATTATACGATTACGTTATGAATTCTGATCCAATTTTTATAGATATCTTCATAGCAGGTAAATTACTTGACAAATTTCCTTAAATCATTAATATGGACAATGTAAACTAAAAGAGAAATTAAAAGTTCTACAAACAACCAACCGAATTTTGCAAATTTTTACATTTAAAGTGATTTCAATACTATTTGTTTAACAATAGACAAAGCTTTAAATGCTTTGCTCTTTAAAGCTATGGGCACATGGGAGTAACCTATATGGTTTTATTTATATAGATCGAAAAATAAGTAACATTCGTTAATTATAAATTATCGCGTTGTTTACACATATTTTATTAAAAATTTTTGGCAAGAAAAAAGTTTGTCTTAGAACTTTTGACATAATAAATTTTGCTATTATGCTATCCTTTATAGCAAACCTTGGTGTCAAACTGTTTCGACTACCATTGCTGTATGAGTATATGAGCCTCTGAAGCATACCATCATGTCTTTTTATTATAAATTAAAAGGTTGTTAAGTAATTATCTTGGAAGAATCCATCTTAGAAGAACAATCTTGAATTACAAGCGTGCACGGTGTTAGTCGATCATGCACGGGTTTTTTAATGACCATGTAATTTTAGACATAGTACATTTAAATAAATACACATAATGTTAACAGAGATTCAAAAGAATAATTGTCGAGTTTCTTGCCGGCTCTTCTTACAACTTTCCAAACTCTGCGGTAGATTTAAAAAAAAAAATGACGGTTTAAAAGTGCTTGTAAAGAAGTCTGTTTCAATAAAGATGTTTTGAATTCGAATTTGAATTTAAGGGTAGTACAATTAGAATATGAGGCAATATTATTTGGTTCTGAATTATCAGAACAAAGCCTGTGAAGATCCCAGGAAGCTTCTGTGTTTCTGGGTGGAGCTGAGTTGGCTGTACTAGCCACGACTCATACGCACAATGGCCCAAATGAGAGGCTAAGCGTGGAAAAGAGAGTCCAATCTACATTACATTTATCAGAACAATTAACAACTATTCCCATTAGAGGAACTGAAAGTAGTTCCAATATGGATTCCGTCCATGGCAATTAGACAAATTATAACAATACGATACCATGAAATATAAACAATAGAAACTTACTGTGATGTAGGAGTTCATTGTTCTTCAGTTACTCAAACGAAGTGTACCAATTTTGTGTATGTTGGCGAATTTATACTAAGTTAGTATCCTGCGGATAGCACCGGACGCGGCTGTCGAGTGCGCGCACGCATTGCATTTTCTGATGCAACAGCATCAGAAATTTGCATCGTGCATCCTTGTAGGATTTATTATTGGTAAAAGTCACAAATCATATGTCTTCCTCATATTTATTTGATTTTTTTTATCTATAGAGAATAATTTAGACGCCATTATATATATTTACAATTGGATGTTGGTGAACGTAAGCCTACTCCATAGATTGGCAATGAAAGATCTTGAGTCGCCTACATGCATTAACTATTAAACGACGACAATTATAGGTCTTCTTACTTTCTCCTATTGCGGAAAGGGTTAGTAGGGGCCTTGAGGTAAATCCCTTTATCCCGGCTTCAACTCCGAGTGCGACGACCCCAGTCACTGAGTTCTATGTCGAGCAAACTGGCGTAGCGGTTTGGCCTGTTTGGCTTGTCATATATTTCTTTTGTTTTTTATTTTATATCCATACAACATTATACATATTTGCCTGCTATTTCCAACAGAGAGTTTCATTTTCATGTGAGTAATAATTATCTGTCCACTGCTGAACATAGGCCTTCCCCGTAGACTTCTATAAGGAACAGTTCCGAGCTACTCCTATCCTCTAACGCCCTTTTTTTTTAACGTCTGGAAACTGCTTTATGCAGACCCATACACCTTATGGGAGGTGAATGGGTACTGTGGGAGTCCCCCCGTAAGGTGGGGGTGTACCCACCAAAAACCAGACGATATACCCTCGAGGTGCCATATGTCGGAGACATGGGTTCGCTTTCGCACTCACCACATCTCCGACGGCAGCGACCCGCCCCCTGATGGTAAGAGCAGGTCTCCTCTTTCAAGATAGGGTGGATGGCGTGCTCACCCTACCACTCGGGGGATCCTCTAACGCCCTGCAATACTTTTGAGATCGTCGCTCCATCCAGTGGGGAGTCCTCATATACTGCATTTGCCTGTACAGGGCCAGCAATCAAGAACCGTTCTACCCCATCAGTCGTTGGTTTTTTCGGTTATATGACCAGCAACTTCAGCTCAATTATCCTTCGGGTCATTTCGGTCACTAGTTCTTTAGTATAGTTACACTACCCTAACTTTATTTAAATTATTAAAACCTGCAAGACTATTTCTTGAGAATTTACGAATAGAAACTAATTGGGTATGAAATGGTATGTTTATTTATTTATTTAAACTTTAATGCACAATGTAGCTATATGTACTCATATGGTGAACTTAACACAGGACGATGTTCTCTACCAATCAACAATTGGGCAAACAGAGAAATAGACAGGCGGTGTATTAAAAAATGGAGAAAACATAAAGTAATACTTAACATGTTTATACATTATAAACATATAATTACACAAATGCTGTGTGGTCCCGGCATAGTATGGGCCATCCCTTCCTTTCCCGTGGGTGTCGTAAAGAGACCTTGATAGTCGACAGATGGGCAGCAGTATCCCTTTTAAAATACCAAAACCTAACCGCGGTTGCCAATCCACTGCTAAGCGTGGCAACTATTGGTAATACCAAGGGGGTGGCCAATAGTTGCTACGCTTGACAAGCAGTTTGACAACTACAGTTAGGCTTAGGTGATGTTATAAGAAGGTCGCTGCTGCCCATCCCTCGACCGTTAAGTTCTCCTGGTCGCCTCTTAAGACACGTCTAATGGCAAAACCTCCCAAGGAGTTGTGAATGTTATTTCAAGATCTGAAAAATTTAACTATCTATTCTGCTTTTTTCTGCTCTGCTCTCTTCCGTTTTCCTCTGCTCTGCTTAACTCTATTATACTTAATTTAGTGTTATATTATCAGTGATTCTATTCTGTTTTTATCAAACATATATATTTAAAAATGGAATATTTCCCGACATAAAAAACGTGATATAGTGCGTTCCTTAATGAATGTTTCACATATTTATTTCCACTTCGTATTATATTGTTATATAACTTGTTACTAGTGATTTTTATAGTAAGAAACAAAAAAATAAATTTTCATTAGTGTTACAAATTGTCATTGTTTTTGTGAAGTTGAACAAAAGTATTTTATGTTCTCATCCACAATTTAAAATTGGACTTAATCTGTTTACTAAATTTTAGTAAAATTTACTCATCCCTTTAAGCAGAATGGGTAATAAACATCGCAATAAATTTACAAACTTTCACATTTATAGTTTTTATAGGAAGTAGGTATAGGATGTAATGTATGGTTAGAATAGTTAATTACTTAAATCCTGATGAATAACAATTATGAAGCGATTGAATGCCAACTCTTTGTTAACTGATGCGACATTAATCTGAGAGTACCCTATGGTCTCACTACCTTTTTTTTATGCAACTTTGAATGGCAAACAAACTGACGGCCCACCTGATGGAAAGTGGTAACCGTCGCCTATAGACTTGAGCAGTACAATGGACATAACAGAGTATACTGTTTCGACCATGGCACCCCCATATGTTGTCATTCCTGAGGACTCGGGTGTTTTTCCTCCACCACGCCAACACAACTGCTTCACGGTAGAAACACGAATGGGACAGAGGTGCCCAAGCAAACGATTTTTGTACAAAGTCTCCCTCTGGTAAACTTAAAAATACACAACAAATAAACCTCAAGACGCTGCCTTTTCTAAATCGCTTAAGAATATCTTTAAGGGACAATCGCCACTTTAAACCAAATGCATACTGTCCCTTTGAGATGAATCTCTTATATGGCTTCCATTATAAACAAATTTTGGACCTTCTGGCGGTACAACGAATTTCTTACCGCAATAAAATTACAGGATATGGAGGTATAACACTTTAGTCATGGGGCGAATGGGATTGTTAGTAATGGGGTCTAACAGCCAGCAGGGTTACCATTCCATTTCATTCTTGCGGTATAACCGCAAGCAGGGTTACCATTCCATTTTCATTCGTTAAAAAAACACTTCAGTTCTGAGAAATGGCAACACTAGTGGTGTGCGTGTATAATACTTATTTGCTAGAGTCGACCAGGGCGAGACTGAGAATCCTATTGCTAGCAATATACCCAACCAGACCGATCTCCTCGCGGTTCTCCCTGGAAACTATTATGGTTAATTCCTGATAATGGATTCATCATGATAGGCTAACTGGCCTGTTTTCATTCTCATCTATCACCCTTCACTGGTGCTCCGCTAGCGTATCCCGTTAGCGCAGGCGGGGTTACCATACCATTTTCACTCATTAAACAAAAAAAAATACTTATTTGCTATATATACCAAGTTGTAAAGATAAAAATAGTTTTGCTACATCTGGGAATGAACCTGTGTCCTTACAGCTATAATCAATAATCAAACTACCAATAAGACTAAGATAAGGTGATAATGAAATAGTAACCCCATCCGCGCTATCGGTATACGCTGATAGGGCACCAGTGAAGGATGATAGACGAGGATGAAACAGGTCAGTTAGCCCATCGTGACGAATTCAACGAGAATTGTTCACGATTGTTTCCAGGGGGAACCACGCGGAGGTTGACCTAATATATTGCTAGCAATGGGGCTGTCAAACTCTATTGCTAACAATCCCTTCCCCCCTACCAATAAGACATTATGTGGGTGTAAATAATTCATTAAAACATATTTAGGAAACAATTAAACGCATTATAACTTCGCGTGCATATATTAATTAACAAGAGTTCATTGTTCATATTGCTTTAGGCTTAGGTATATAAAATAATTTACATTCATGATTACATGATATAATAGCGGTTATTGTTTTAGTAATTACATTGTTTATTTTTAACCGACTACGAAACAAAGATGGGTAATGTTGATTGGGTGTTGGCTATGATTATAACTTAGATCACATAAGGTTTATGATTTATGGAACACAGACAGCATAAAAATATTATACCTATTATAATGTATTTATTTATTTATTTACACTTTATTGCACCAAGTAAAAAGAGATATAACAAATACAGTATGTACCTAATCCTTTTTAAGAAGCGGAAAGGGATTGTTAGTAATGGGGTCTAATGAACCCATTTCTAGCAATACACCGTAACAGGTCGACCTCAGCCCGGTTCCTCCTGGAAACCATCATTACTATGATGTATACAGACATAGAATGTATGTCAGTGAATGTTTCTCATAATTTTTTTTTATGCAAGTTAGAATGGCATACAAGTCGACGACCCATCTGATGAAAAGTGATAACCGTCGCCTACAGACATGAGCAGTACCATGGTGGGTATCATGGGCGAAACAGTATACTCTGTTATGTCCATGATACTGCTCATGTCTATAGGCGACGGTTACCACTTTCCATCAGGTGGGCCGTCAGCTTGTTTGCCATTCTAAGTTGTATAAAAAAAAAAGTAATTTGATTAGGATTATAAATAACTTAATTCAATTCGTTTCATTGGCAACAAGTCAAATGTTACAAGTGTAATTATTTATAAATGTCCGCTATTATTTGTTTTAGCGCAAAATTAATGTATTTATGTTGAACAGTAATTACGGTTAACTCGTGTTCTCGGTCGAATTAATACGATAATTGCGCCCAAATTATAATATTTTCCATTATGTATTGACCTAAATCTGTGGTTAAATAGACACACGTTTTGAGGTAAGCAGGTTCAATGATTGACAACGTATTTATTATACGTAAAAATTATTAATTTACTCTTGCGCCACCTACCCACTTCTACATGTTCTCCTTTAACCAAAGGTTGTCTGTAAGAGATTGCCCTAGCGATAAGACCGCCTTTTGTACCTTTATATGTATATTTTAACCTGTACTTCATGCTACTGTATTTTAGTTGAATTCTTTATATGGCATTGTTTATTTTTATGTTTTTAGTGCAATAATGAGTTAAATGAATAAACGTAATTGTGACAGAATTGTAAAAAGCCGAAAATATTCAAGAACGCCGCGGCCCTGTATACAGTAATACACTATTTACTTTTAGATCACAAAGGTATATATATATTTAAAAATATTAATTTTAAACTTTC